TTTCGTATGTTAATTCCTGTGCCTTAATAAGGAATTCTGAATTAATAAGGAAAAAGTAAGCATTACTCCATTTATATAAGAAAATTGATGACTTGGAAAACAGAGGTAAGATGAACAATTTAAGGGTGAGTGGAGCCACCTAGAGGGAGAGCAGAAGATGTATCTCGGACATTACAATGATTGTTTAATCAAATTTTAAAATGCTCACCTGAAAACCCCATTAGATTTGAAAGCGTGCATAGAGCCAAGAGGCTGAATAATCTACCCCAAGATAAATCATGTGACCTAGTATATAGTAAATACATCACCAATCAAGAAGGCAGAGGGAATGGATATTTGAAGGTCATCCTATTCAGAAATTCCAACATCTTTCACAGTTATCTTTACGAGCATGCAGAGCTTAAAAACCAATTGTCAGTTTGCTTAAAGGACCACTATAGTGCCAGGAAAACATACTCTGGGGAGAGGAAGGGGTTAAACTTACCTCTTTCTCCAGCACCAGGCGGGGAGCTCCCCTCCTCCTCTCCGCCTCCTCTCCTCCTCTTCGGCAGAATGCGCATGCGCAGCAGGAGCTGCGCGCGCATTCAGCCCGTCTCATAGGAAAGCATTCATAATGCTTTCCTATGGACGCTGGCGTCTTCTCACTGTTATTTTCACAGTGAGAAGCACGCAAGCGCCTCTAGCGGCTGTCAAGAAACAGCCACTAGAGGCTGGATTAACCTATTTATAAACATAGCAGTTTCTCTGAAACTGCTATGTTTATAAAAAAAAGGGTTAACCCTAGCTGGACCAGGCACCCAGACCACTTCATTAAGCTGAAGTAGTCTGGGTGCCTATAGTGGTCCTTTAATGAAAGGAACATACGCTTCAGTATGAGCTTACCATTTGCTCTAACAGTTTTCCACAATGGCTCAATTACTCAACCCTCAGAAGTTCCTGCATGATTAGAAAGTCTAGAATTACCAGTGGAAGTTGTTGAAGATTGGACTGGGATGAGACAAAGTAGCTCATTGGCACTACCACAGAAGTCGAGATGGCATAAAGTTATAAAATAAATAAGAGAAAGTTAAGTAGCACTCCTGTTAAAACCCATCTGGTTTGAATTGAGCTCTGGGTAGTAATTGAGAAGGAGAAAAAAAAAAGAAAGAAAGAAAAAGAAAGAAAGAAAGAAAAAAAGGAAAAAAGATAGAAGCGATAGTTGTGAGGCTTAGAGGAAATGATATTGGAGGCTAATAGATTTTGGATTTAAATGCTGCAATTATTTTGAATATTTGTATGGTTTTGTACCAGCCTCACCATGTGTATTTGTGTACTGATGTGATATCTCCACCATAATTTTTATTTTTTTCATGATTAATGATTTTTATTCTGGCAAGCTCATTCGATACCTAAGTGCCATTAACATGCCACTTTCTTCTCAAGAGGTGCATTACTGCTCTTGCAGACACATTTTTATTTGATAACCTGGCAAAATCTGCTCCATCTGATGATAGCTAGGCTATCAGAACACAGAATTCAAATATGTATAGTATGTTTTTTCTTTTTTTGTTTCTTTCTTTGTTTTGTTTGTTTTTTACTTGGTTTTATTATTTAAGCTTGTTTCTTTTTCCATTGGTATTTATCAGCTGTGGTGCTGTAAATCTAACTTCCTTTATAATATGAATTGGATTATCCCAGAGAAACATTGTTATTTAATAAAATCCATAAGTACTCATAAAGTGAAATCTAGGGGAGTAGCTAGAGGAGTAGCAATCTGTAGCGGAGCCCTAATCCGACTCTTCTCTGCTGGTTACTCCAAGATGCTATCAGGAACAAGTAAAATAATCCAAGGGAACAGCCAAATACAGCAAAGTAATCCAAGAATCTCCCAACACCTCCTCAGCAACTGGACGAAACTCAGCTCTGGGGGTATAACTGATTTTAATGGAGCCACAGCTGGCCTTTTATAAGAATTTCCCTGCAAGGGATTTCCGGATACATATTCCAGGGGTATTCCCCACTGGACCTGAGAGTAAACAGGGCAAAGTACACAATATAATTACATTACCTCTCAGGTCCAGAACATGTAAAATCTTTAACACCCCAAAATATGCATTTCACCATAAGTTACCCCCTCAAGAACTATTTCCCCAGATAGCCTGGGTCTGAGCACCCAAGATATCCGAAAAGTGCTCAGATCCCACAAACGCAGACGAAATGCCACCGGGGTAAAGTTTGGACCGACCGCACACAAGGCGCCTGCCCAAAACATTTCCATGAAAATAGGATCTTTCAGGAGTATGAAAACATATGAAATAACATAGCAATCTGTTTGACATCTCGGGCTACTCTTGGGGAGGAACGGAACACAAAGTGGCGGCATATGCAGATGACCTCCTCTTCTTCATATCAAACCCTACGATAACAATGCCCAGCTTACTATTGGAATTTGCACGCTACGGGAGGACCTCGGGATTTAAACTCAATTTACCGAAATGTGAGGCACTGAACATATCAATCCCGATGGAGGAGTACACCAACCTCGGTACGCTGTTCCCATTCCACTGATGCTCGGACAAGAGGAGATATCTGGGCATCTGGGTAACTGCGGACCCACGGGAGATATATCGACACAATTTCACAACCTTACTGACACAGATCGTTGCATGGCACGGCCGGATAGCAGTACTTAAAATGAATGTGCTCCCACGGATACTGTACTTATTCCAGATGATACCGGCGGCCTTCTTTACCTCATTGAAATCAGCGATCATCCGATACGTGTGGAGGGGGGAAAGGTCCCGACTACATCATGAAATACTATGTATGCCCCGGCATAGAGGCGGACAGGCCTTGCCAGATTTTAAATGATACCATCAAGCTGCTACCTTGCAGCGAATCTTGAAATGGCACACATCCGGAGAGCCGAAACCATGGGTGTCCCTGAACAGGGAGGGAGATGGGGTGACCCTGAAATTCAGGGTATGGCAGGGAAAAAAGGATCGCAGCAGCGGTACTGACGGAGATCCAGTACAGCAGATGTTGAGAACGTGGGCATCGATTAGAGGGGCACCACACATTTCTCCAACACCCTGCCCCTTACTCCCGATCACACACAACCCCGATATAGGAGGTTTATAGGGAATGAAACATATATACCAATACGCAGAGTTCTACGAGACGGATCTCTACTTAGTCTTGAAACGATTCTGGGAGACAACCCAGGGACATCCATGATATCTTTTCGGGGAGAATGGATCCACCCCACATGCTCTGTCTCATACGGGAAGGCTCACGAACATCATGACACATGAAATATCCCCAACAAGAACGTTAGGAGCGAATCACCTAGATTGACAGTGACCAAACAGAGGACACTATAGCTATTGACGGACAGGAATGATCACACACCACAAATAGTGACTAGTCTAACTGTGAAGTCTAACTGTGACGAGGATCGTCCTCATCGCCTATCCTACTACACACCACACTCTTCTCACACACATGTACACACCCCTTTTACCTTTTTAAGAAAAACCTCAATTGTACACTCGAGGGATACCTAACCCACAATGTCATTTAAGAAACAATTCATAAGCTTGGAACTTGTAACGTATTCACAAGCTGCACTGAGCACGATTCAGACCCTTTAACCTACTCATTACTGTTGTTGTGCACAGCCGAAACAAAGTTTGTTACATGTTCTATTCTATAGAGACTAATGTTAATGGTTTAAGCTGACCACCAAAAAAAAGGGGAGAAAAAAGAGAGAAGAATGAATGTACTCCTCAACATGTTGTTTATAAATGGCGGCATGCGTGCCACGACAAATGATGTACACTTTCTCAATAAAAACAGATTTACAAAAATAAATGACAAAGAATATTGTTTCAAAAAATAGTACATTCACATCAATTAGTAGACGCTTTGTGCATGGTCAATCAGTTTAAAAGGGATTATTCTTATTATTCCGATACTGCCAATAGTTACTCAAGACTGGATATGTTTATGATTTTGAATAGACACCTTCATTTTATACAAAAAGTTACATCACTTGGATCATGCCCCAGTTTTCCTAAATCTTAAACTACCTGGGCTAAATAGCCCCAAATCATTTTGGCGATTGAATGAATCATTATTGAATGATCCAACTGTGGAGGAGGAAGTAAAGAAAACTCTGGATGCATATTCTAAAGATAATACACAACTGGATACCTCCATCCCATGGATTTGCATTATTAGAGGAGTATTGATTAAATGGGGGTCACAGATTAAAAAATAACTAAATTCTAGAGTGGCCTCCATTTCCCAACAAATAAATGTAGCAGAATTGGCTCAACCCCGTCAATGAGACTTACAAGCACTTAGTTGCTCTCCGTATGGCGTTGAAAAACATACTTAACAATTGACGCAGGGCACATTTTATTTTTATGGCAATAAGTGTGGAAAAACACTGGCGAGGGCTTTAAAAAATAGATATCAAAATTCATATATAGAAAAAAATCATAGATGATACAGGGAAGCAACATATAACAGATGCAATAGCAGATGCTCTTCTATAGTTTCAAAAAATATACAATCTTCCTAGTCCACCAAGTTGTAAGGACTCCATGTATGAATATATAAATTCCAATTTGTCTCAGAAAATATCGATCGATCAGACTAATTGTTTAGAGACTCCCTTAACAACAGAGGAATTTGAAAGGGTAGTTAAAACCATGCTACAAGGGAAAAGTCCAGGTCCTGATGATCTTACAGTATATTATTATAAAACGTACTAAACAGTTATATATGAGAATATATCTATGTGAGCAACAGAGGACGGCTACCACCTGATAAACCAACAAGAAACTGATCAGGTAAACATCTAAATAAAGACGAAAAGAAAAACTGCATATGGTGTTATAACGTTGAGGCAAAATGGAGGGGGAAAAGGGAGGGGGTGGAGTGAGAGCACTCACAAGACGTCGGAATAAACAGGCTTGTAGACCATGTAGATGGATCCTCTGTATAATGAGCAGTTCACTGTTACAGTCAAGGTCCACAGTCTTTCAGGAACTGATGGTGGAGAGAACAGAACCGCCAAAGGAGTTGATAAAACTAAAAATATTTCTTGGACAAAAAGTTAAAACAACAAATAGAGTAAGAAGGTCCCAACACACAAATGATTTAGGTAAACTAGAAAAATGGTCAGAGCTGTGGCAACTAACATTTAATGTGGATAAATGCAAGATAATGCATCTTGGATGTGAAAACCCAAGGGCAGAGTATAGAATATTTGATAGAGTCCTAACCTCAACATCTAAATAAAAGGATTTAGGGGTAATAATTTCAGCATAGGCATGCGCAGCCTATTGCATTAGGGTGTGCACCCTAAAGCACAAACACACGCTGCATGTAAATATATATATATATATATATATATATGCACACACATACACACACATACATATACTGCTGTTTGTGTGTGTGTGTGCTGTTAGTGTGCTGTGTGAGGGTGCTGTGTGTGTGTGTGAGAGTGCAGTTAGTGTGATGTGTGTGTGAGGGTGTTGGTAGTGTGCTATGTGGGTGAGGGTGCTGGTAGTGTGCTGTGTGTGAGGGTGCTGTTTGTGTGCTGTGTGTGAGGGTGCTGGTAGTGTGCTGTGTCTGAGGGTGTTTGTGTATGTGTGTTAGGGTCCTGTTAGTGTGCTGTGTGTGTGAGGGTGCTGTTTGTGTGATATGTGTGTGTGAGGGTGCTGTTTGTGTCGTGTATTTGTGAGGGTGCTGTAAGTGTGCTATGTGTGAGTGTGCTGTTTGTGTGCTGTGTGTGAGGGTGTTGTGTGTTTGTAAGGGTGCTGTGTGTGTGTTTGTGAGGGTGCTGTTAGTGTGCTGTGTGTGTGTGTGTGTGAGGATGCTGTATGTGTGCTATGTGTGTGGGTGCTGTATGTATGTGGGTGCTGTTTGTGTGCTGTGTGTGTGAGGGTGCTGTTTGTGTGCTTTGTATGTGAGGGTGCTGTGTGTGCGCGCTGTATGTGTTAGGGTGCTGTGTGTGTGTGGGTGCTGTATGTGTGTGTGTGCTGTATGTTTGGAGGGATTGTCTTACCTTATGTAGGGAGGGGGGATCCTTGCTGTCCAAGGGAGAGTGAACTCTAGCCTGCGGGGCTAGAGTTCACTCTCGCGAGATCTGAGCATTGCAGCGGCAACGCTCAGATCTCGCAAGAGGAACCTGGCGGAGCTTCTGTCTAGAGCTCCCCAGGTCCTCTCCTGCATCCCTCCACGCTGCTGTGGGCTAGTGAGGTAGATCTTTGATCTCCCCGCCGGCCCATGGAGGCTTAGAGCAGAGCCGGCACTCAGATAGCGCCAGCTCTGCATGAGCCGACAGGGGAGATCCGGATATCTCCCCTGCCGGCAGGGGTCAAGTCCTGGGGAATAAAGTGTGGGAACTCTCCCAAGATTCCCACCCCCCCAAAAAAATTATATGCACTCGTGTGTGCATATATATATATATATATATATATATATATATAAATATATATATATATATACAAGCGTACACACACATACATTCACACACACATACTCAGACACACTCACAGACACACATACACACACATACAGACACACACACACTTACAGACACACACTTACAGACACATATATACATTCACAGACACACATACACTTACAGGCACACACACACACATACATTCACAGACACACACACTTACAGACACACACACATACATTCACAGACACACACACACTCACACTCACAGACCTACAAACATATACATTCTCAGACACTTACAGACACATACACTCACAGACACACATACACACAAAGAGGCACACACTCATACATTCCCAGACACACACACTCACAGACACTCACACACATACATTCACAAATTATTATTTTTTTAATAAAAAAATGTCCACCCAGCCTCCCTACCTGGAGAGCTGGCGTGGACTTGTCCCTGGGGTCCAGTGGGTCGGGCGCCTATCTCCATACAACAAGTGGCGAGGGAGCTGTGTGCTCTCTGCTTCCTCTAGCCGTGCGGGCTGTCTGCTGTAGCAGGCGCCTGACCGGGAGAGGGTGTCCATCACCCCTTGCTCCCCCCCCATGACATGGGGGACACGGGGAGGGGGAAGGCATTTGGGGGCGGCAGAGTGCCTGCAGGAACAGCGTGCCGCGGGGATTAGGGTGCTCCCAGGCACACCCAGCACACCCCATGCACACGCCTATGAATTTCAGATGACTTAAAGATAGGCAAACAATGTAATAGAGCAGCAGGAAATACTAACAGAATGCTTGGTTGTATAGGCAGTAGAAAGAGGGAAGTGCTTATGCCATTGTACAGAACACTGGAGACACCTCACATGGAGTATTGTACGCAGTACTGAAGACCGTATCTCCAGAAGGATATTGATACTTTGGAGAAAGTTCAGAGAAGGGCTACTAAACTGGTTCATGGATTACAGGATAAAACTTACAAGGAAAGGTTAAAGGATCTTAACATGTATAGTTTGGAGGAAAGACGAGACAGGGGGGATATGATAGAAACAACTAAATACATAAAGGGAATCAACACAATAAAGGAGGAGACTAAATTTAAAAGAAAGAAAAAACTACCATAACAAGAGGACAGTCTTAAATTAGAGGGGCAAAGGTTTAAAATAATATCAGGAAGTATTACTTTACTGAGAAGGTAGTGGATGCATGGAATAGCCTTCCAGCTAAGGTGGTAGAGGTTAACACAGTTTAAGCATGCATGGGATAGGCATAAGGCTATCCTAGACAAAGATAAGGCCAGAGACTAATGAAAGAATTTAGAAAATTGGGCAGACTAGATGGACTGAATGGTTCTTACCTGCCGTCACATTCTAGGTTTCTGTGTAACAGTGTAAATCCAATGCGTTTCGTCCTATACCGGACTTCTTCAGCTATCTGGGACAGCATGTTATTCCGATGTCTCGATTAACATATAACATTCTAACTCGTCATAGAGATATGGGTGGGATGGGGGCCCTAAATTACAATAAGGGGGGCCTATTGTCCTTCCCCAGCCCCCACCCATGAGAAATGGACAGGGGCGCTAAATGAAAATGGGGGGACCTCTTGTCCTCCCTCTCAGGCCCCCAGACGATGAGCGGCGGGTGGGGGCCCTAAATTACAATATTGTCCTTCCCCGGCCCCCACCCGTGAGCGACGGACGGGGGCACTAAATGAAAATGGGGGGGGGAACCTATTGTCCTCCCTCCCAGGCTCCACCCATTAGCAGCGTTTGGGAGACCTAAATAAAAATGGGGGGGAACCTATTGTCCTCCCTCCCCAGATCATGAGTGGTGGGTGGGGGCCCTAAATTACAATACGGGGAGGGACCTATTGTCCTTCCCCAGGCCCCACCCATGAGCGATGGACGGGGGCACTAAATGAAAATGGGGGGGACCTATTGTCCTCCCTCCCATCCCCCACCCATGAGCGGCGGGTGGGGTCCCTAAATTACAATAAGGGGGGGGAACCTATTGTCCTCCCCATCGGCTCCACCCATGAGTGGCGGGTTTGGTACCTAAATTACAATAAGGGGACCTATTGTCCTCCCTCCCATCCCCCACCCATGAGCGGCGGGTGGTGTCCCTAAATTACAATAAGGGGGTAACCTATTGTCCTCCCCCAGGCTCCACTCATTGGTGGCATTTGGGGGCCCTAAATGAAAATGGGGGGGACCTATTTTCCTTCCCCTAGCCCCCACCCATGAGCTACAGGTGGGGGCCCTAAATGAAAATGGGGAGGAGACCTATTGTCCTCCCCCAAGGCCCCAACCCGTGAGCAGCGGGTGGGGGCCCTAAATGAAAATTGTGTCTCCTCCCCCTGCCCCCACCCACAGGTGACGGGTGGGGGCTAAGTGTAAAAATATAAAAAATACCCCCCAGGTGACAAGGGGTCCCCAAGACCCTAGTCACCCCCCCTCTGAAATAAAGTAAACAAAGCCCTACCAACCCACCTCACCCTAAAAATTGTGAGGGGGGAGACAATAAAACTAAATACCTTAAATAAAAAAATACTTACCATTTGATGTCGCCAAATAAAAACCATAATACCCGTTGAACTTATAAAAAAAAAAACCCTGCCGAAAAAAAATAAACCCAGACGCTAAAAAAAAATATTCCTTCTTCACCCAACGAGAGCACAGACTGAGCTCCGCAGGGCGCGGAAATGCTTATAAAGCCTACCCACGCCCTGCAATTTGACTTAGAGCACTCTGATTGGTTGATTCCAAGCCAACCAGAGTGCTCTGACAGGTAAATGAAGAGACTGACAGATAAGTCTCTACATTTACCTGCCACAGCACTGTGATTGGTTGGATTGGAATCCAAAGGAACTTTCCCACGCTATGTAAAATGACTAGCACTCTGATTGGTTGGCTTGGAATCCAACCAATCAGAATGCTCTGAGTCATTTTACACAGCATTCCAAACCAATCTACCAAGTACTGTGACAGGTAAATGTAGAGACTTACCTGTCACTCTCTTCATTTACCTGTCACTCTCATTGGTTGGCTTAAACCAACAAATCAGAGCGCTCTGAGCCAAATTGCAGGGCATGGGAAGGCTTTATAAACCTCTTCCAGCCCTGCGGAGCTCAGTGTGCACTGTGCCATCGCTGGATGAAGTAGGAAAAAAATGTTAGCGATTATTTTTTCCCGGAGGATTGTTTTTTGGGGGCGCTCAGGTTTTTGTTTTATTTTATAAGTTCAACGGGTATTATGTTTTTTTATTTGTCCTTTTTTGGGGCTGAAAAAAGAAGATTTTAGAACAAAGAAGACATCAAATGGCAAGTATTTTTTTTATTTCCAGGTATTTAGATTTATTGTCTCCCCCCCTCACTATTTTAGGCGGAGGGGGATAGGTAGGGCTTTATTTAATTGTATTTGTGTTGGGGGATGACTAGGGTCTTGGGGACCCCTAGTTACCTGGGACGGGGGTATTTTATATTTTTACACTACAACAATAGGTCTCCCCCCCATTTTCATTTAGGTCCCCCACCCGCCTTTCATGGGTTGGGGACGAGGGGGAGGACAATAAGTACCTCCACCCCCATTTTCATTTAGGGCCCACACCCGCTGCTCATGGGTAGAGGCCAAGGTGGAAAATATGTCCCCTATTTCGTTGAATAGCCCCCACTCGCAGAGCATGGGTGGGGGCTCGGGGGGGGACACTATGTGTCTTCCCCCCCGCTAGTTAAGAGATGC